AGCAACTGCTCGGTCTTGCGCTTTCGAATGTTCACCGCGACATTGAAGTTCAAGGGGAGAACGTCCTGGATATTTTTTGCCGTAAACGCAGGCGGCTGCATCTTAATGTGCAGGCGCTTAGCATAAATGAGAAGATAAAGAGAGGCTGTACATTGCTTTCTGAAATAACTAGTGACAGTTATCTTTTTATTCGTGGTAATTTATAGTCGAAAGCACATAATTCTGATCAGCACCCGTTGCTTATATTGCAATTGTTTTTACAATTCATTTAATATTCCTTCCATCACTGACATTGTTTTATATTATCGACATGTGTTCGATTTACTATGTTCACTTTGGTTTGATTGAACTGTGTATTTCAGTGAGGATAGTTTGTTATACTTTGCCTTGAAATCGCCATCCTCCATTCCACAAATGTTTCGAAATATCCGTTCTCTATATATCTGAGATCAAGTTCCGCATCCCATCGAATAAACATGAAAGAAGCAATATTACGTATTTTATTGATTCGAGCATTTTCCATTCTGCCAACATTTTTCCCAAAAGCATATAAGTTGGAGATAGTCCGCGCTTCCCCGTTGATCCGTGCCTCGTGCGAAACCAACTGCGCGAGCAGGGGAGCGAGCGGGCCCCGGCGAAAGGGGGGGGGGGGGGGGGGGGGGGCTTTGGCATTTCGGGGGGGGGGGGGGAAGGTTCGACCCCCCAAACCCCCCTCTGCCTACGCCACTGCCCACCGTCAGCGTAGACATTTGAAGGCAATGTTTTGCGAGCTCACGAAGAATTGAGCGTAGAACTTGCACCTTTGCATTTAATTGCATTATAATATAGCAATTACACACACACAAAAAGTATATGCGGCTCCCCCCCCCCCCCCCAATTGAAACCCAAAAAATCTTGCCTACGAATATCATTAAAGGTGAGCTCTATCGCGAATTTAGACATTAGGTTATTTAAATGTCTCGCAAGATCATGAAAAATGGATGCTAAAGGAACAGTTGTAGTTTCAAAAAATATTTATGCGACAAAAACGAAACCAATCTGGAACCTGACAGGCAGCGGCCACATTCCCACGCGGACAGGACATCGTTTGTCTGCAGTCCGAGCGTTGTTTGAACCAACCGCACAAGAAAAGTCCCCTTAAATCCACGAAGATCTAGTCTGACAGAGCAACAAAGTGAAACGAATAAAGAACAAAAAGTTACAGTACAGCAGTGGGAAGGCACCCCAACGCGGCTCTTTACCTGATGTTACGTGGGAGCTTCGGCGGTTGCCAATGTTGCCAACAAAAATGCCCTGTTTTGGGGACGCGTTCTGGGACGAGTTTAAATTTCTAGTTCTGGCGTGGAGGAGGATGAAAAATTCGGATATTGCGTGGAGGGTGTTCCTAAACACAGTTAAAACAAGATTTAATTGTTTTCTTGAAGACAAAAATTGATCGGACAATCCCTTTAACTAGCTGACCCGAATAAAGAGGCGCTCGATCATTTGCCTGAATTATACTAGTTGTTTCTCAACGCAACAAATGCTACCTTTTCGAAGAAGCTGTAGGCTGAAATTGGGGGGCGCACGAATACCGATTCGAATAGAATAGCACTGTGTCACTAATAACTAGAGACCGGATTTTAGGCAAATGCCTATTTTTTTCCTTGCATTCCTATTGCCCCATTTCGATATATGAGCACGAATTGGAGGTCAAGGATGGCTTTTATGGTGGTTTTAGAGTGCCTATAAATGCCTATTTTGGGTGTTGGTGCCTAAACTCTGATAAATGCCTATTAATGCCTTTTTTTGTCAAATTGGCGCCTAAGTAAGCACTATGTAGCGTCAAGTTTCGCATTCGAGTGCAATTTTTTACCTTTATTAATTCTACCTGGAAATATTTACTGTTTTGAATTCTATGGGTTTGAACCTGGTCCTCCTTTTAACACTCCCCCCCCCCCCCCCCCCCCCTCCCTTTGCGCCGGTGCAACCGGAGCGGCTGCTCCTGCGTGCTTTATGGGTGGCTTTCCCGCAGGACTTGGCGGTGGACGCACAACTCTACTTCCTAGGGGAACTATGATACCGTCAGGGGCAAAGCAAGTGATGGGGAAGAAAAAGAAAAAGAAAGTGATGGGGAAGACCAGAGGAGAAATTGACTCTAGGCGATTGGACCCAACCAATAGGAGGCACCCTTCCCTTCTAGTCTGGTCTTTCAACGTGCACAGTATGGCTTTCTTTGGTGACCTTTTCAGCCATTTCGAAGCGGAAGACGGCCAGAAGTGCGTTGATCTGACAGTGGACACTTAACTCACCATGTTACAGAATAGACGGAGAGACCGTGTTCTGCCAACCGTTCCCGAAGGACCCGTCGCCGAAAAGGCACGTGCGATGCTGCAACCGGTCTTGGCCAAAAACAAGGGGTTTTCTGTCTTTAACGAAGCTTCAGAAGTCCTTGCTGGTGAGCACTGTAGGATCCCAGTGTCAATTAACCCATCGAATTTTCCCAAGTATAAGTACGCACCAATCACATCTGTCGACGTCGAGCGTTCGCTCTCCGTGTACAAACTCATTCTCAGCGACAATAGGCACAACTTTGAACCCGGAAATCTGGAGATGCTGGTAGTTACCTATTGTTTCTATAATTTCCATAGTGATTCTTAAACTAGGTCCCGCGTTCTGTCCAAACACAATTCTTAATATTTCTGTTTCGAATGAGCGTATGTGTATTTGGCAGTGGTGAGAGGTCTTGCCTGTATAATTAAGGTAACTGTAGAAAATTGCTAAAGTTTGTACGTAAGTTCTCACGTAACAACGTGTTAATTTCTTAACATACCTTGTCTATCTTGCATTTATTATTTTCTTGCTTTATTGTAATTTAATTGCGTCAGGCAAGCATAACTTTGGGCTTTTATAAATCAGTATTACCATATTTCAAGTATTGTTTCTCTTGCCTGTTTCACTATATGCGACGGTTAAGTGGCTTTCGCACCTGAACGTGTATGTAAGCAATGCGTTTCTGAAATTAAGCCAATTGATCGCCATTAGCCCAGAGGTATTACGGGGCAATTCCACGTCTAATGTCAATGTATAGAACTTGTTATGAGAGAAAAATAAAGAATTGGAGTGAATTGAATTGAACTGTTACTGCCATTGTGGCCTCATAGCAATGACATTTTTGGATTTCCTCTCGTGTTTACAGTTCGCTCACGTCTTCACTTGAAATTATTAGCATTCATCTAAAACTTTATTGCGCCTATTTTATTCTTTTTAGTGCCTAAAACGTTGTTTTTGCCGCGTATTTTCGGCGCCTAAAACGTGCTTTTTTAGTACCTAAAAATCCGGCCTCTACTAATAACCTTTGCAGTGGAAGGAAAAGTTACGAAAACCGGTTGTCTTAACAGTTCTATACGAGGGGTGACGCAGCGCCTTTCGATTGGAACCAAAAATCGAACGCTTCTAGTTGAAATCCGAGTGTGGCTTATTTATTTCTAGACGAACTGCGCGTGTAACAATTTTAGTGTGGGCATTACGTGCTAAACAACAACAAACATTTGAAACTACTTTGTTAAAAAAAAAGCCAAAAATACAATTTTCTTTGTGAGGTTGAGCAGACGAAACGCCCTGCTCAGTACTTCCTCGCAGATCGGTTTACTGAATAAAAGGAAAGAAGGGTTCGGGTTGGTTCTTTAGTTTAGTCATTCGCTAGAAAATAAGTGATTTTTTTCGTGATATTCTTGTTTGTTTAATTTTGCCAATCGCTTTTCTTCTTTAATTTTTCGCGTTTCTCCCAAGTATCCCTGGGGCGCCGTTTCTCCATGACTTTGATATCGACAGGGCTCTACTCTTCGGTTCTTTCGCCACAGGGAAATCTTGTGCGGCAATTTATACCACTATTTACTTATGATCAGGGCTGGCTTGCTAGAAGCCGCGTTTTCATAAAGGCACGAGAAAAAGTACTGTCCAAGACAGCGCACCAACTGAGCGGCATTTGAACCGCGTGTCAACTCGCTCGCGCGCCTCAGCCTTTGCAGTCGTTCATAAAGAGCACCTAAAAATTTTGCCGGCCTATGAATTAAAAAAAAAAGATAAAAAGAAGACTGTTTATTTTTCGTTGTCGAGGGTCGTATACTTGATAATGAATTAAAAAACACGACTATTTTATGTGACAAATTCTACTTCGTGTTTACAAGTGATAACAGTAATATGTCTAACTACGACGACCTCTCAGTTCGCTGGTCTTCAGGACACCACTGTTAACGAGGTAGGTATTTGGTCATCATTACTTAACATATGTAAAACAGCAGTCGGCCACCCGTGGCTCGCGAGCATAATTGTATTGTACTCATTACAGATAATCCAATTACTCGCAGTCAATTACTTTTTGGAGTAATTTTCTTATTCATTCGTTTACTGTTTTAGGCAGTAATCACAAGAGTAATTTAATTACGTCACGTGACCTATGCACTAATTCAGTTTCCTCGCTAAATCTGGCGTGAAAATCAATGTCACGTGACCTACAGACAAATTCAGGTTCCCCACTAAATGTATCGGAAAAACTTACGTCATGTGACCTATACACCAATTCAACTTCCCTCTAAATTTCGCGAAAAAACTGATGTTACGTGAGTCATTCACCAATTCAATTTCCTTGATTAATTTGGCGGGAAAATTGATGTCACGTGACGTACAGACGAATTCAGGTTCCCCGCTAAATTTAGCGGAAAAAGTTACGTAACCTGTCCTATGCACCAATTCAGTTTCCTCGCTAAATTTGGCGGGAAAGCACGGGACGACATTAAAATAATTTATCAACATATTGACCCTAAATCAACGCACTGTCATGTAAATGTGAGATCACCGTATGACGCACGATCGGCGAAATATTAATCGTGCGTTATCGTCATATTGTCGAATAATCAGCACAGCCCTCGCTCTCTAAACGCGTCACGTCGTGTAACCGTCGCGCAATGTTTATCAGCCCACACGGTGGTGAGAGCAAAATGAAAGAATTGCTAACTTACGTGGTGATGTTGGTGAAATCCAGGTTTGCAAACCAGAGCCGCAAGACCTTCAGGTTGCCTCCGATCGCTCTCAGTACTAGCTGGAACTCTATCATGAAGGCGATGCCCGAACCGCGGGGCCAGAGGTACAGCGACAACTCCCGGAGATGAATTAGAAGCTCGATGCCTTCCACGTCCTCGTTGCCGAACAGGTGCAGGTACAGGGTCGTTAGCATCGGGCAGACGTGAAGCACGTGTGAGAGGGCGTTGATGGGTTGGAGGTTCATCTGATTCATTTCCACGTACTCGGTGAGAGAGAGCCTGATGGAGAGGTCGAGCAACCTGAGAGCCTGCGTGAGGATGTCGCACCTGAAGATGCGCAGACGAGGTAAGGCCAGTACTTGGAGGGAACGTGCTGCCGTGGCATCAGGGTCCGCGATGACGCAGTTGATTATGAGGACCTCGATGTTAATACACGTGGAGAACAGGTCGAGACAGTCCTCCGTGAGGCAGCTGCCACTCAGTGTTACCTCGGTCAACTCAGTGCAGTGTTGCGTGAGTGCGGTAATGAGGTCCCCGGAGACCACTACCAGCTTGAGCGTGAGTCGCTGGAGTCGCGGCAGTCTTGAGAGGGTCGCGACAACGTCCGAGACAAAGGCGTCGGCGATGAAGGCATGGATGCGCAGTTCCACCAGCCCTTCGCTCTGCTCAGCGATCTTGTTGAGGAGGTTTGACATGTCGAGTTCGATGGTGGGCCAGAAAGGTATCCGAACGACGAACAGATGGTGGTTGTGGTTCAGCAGATGGTTGAGGCAAGCAACGTTGCCAGGCAGTACGGTCGGAATGGAGTCAAACAGCCGTTGGTCCAGCTTCTTCAGCTTGCCATGGTCAACGCATAGACTGTCGATGTGGTTGGCCACGTAACCAATGCACATCGTTTGCAGGGTAGTCACGGACTTGTGAGCGGGCATGGTGCTGGTATGCCGTAGGACGCGGCCCGTTGTTGAAGCCTCCCGACTCCGCGACGTTCTTGACTGAAGGACTGCGAAAGAATCGCGTGACCTTGTCTTGCCGCGCCACCGCGTGAAGTGCAACTAGCGCTGGCAGCGGTCACTACGCAAACTGTAGAGAAGTCGAAGCGTGATAAAAATATACTTAGTCATGAACTTTGATTTGTAGTGGGGTGGTGTTTTCACCACGAAATAAATGTGCCTCGACACTGTGTGTTCACAAAGTGAGGCACAACCCTCGCATTTTTTCGTTCTATCTATCGATGTTTAATTTTTATAAATTATAGCGATGGCGTATATTCAGTTAAACCCTATAACGCATCTTTGATTAGCTAACCACTAAGCTGACACGGCAGTAGAAGCTACCTAGTCACCATAACAATCAATCGCCACCTTTCTTTATCCAACCTATCTGCGCGCGTGTGTATAGGTGCAGAACTTTTGATCACGCGGGGCAGTAACGAAGGTTGACTTGTTCAACGAGCACGAGGTTTCCACTGCCCTGTCCACTTAGCGGTGAATAAAGTACAACAGGTGCGCCTTTATTGGTGTTTTTGCGCACGCATTATCAATCGTCTTTGGATAGTGCGTCACTTGGGTCTTTTCACACAAGAATTTGAGGTTGTTTCGAGGTGGTTGTGGAAATAAACTGGTAATACAAGCAGTATAGTTATAGTAGAAAAATTGTTTTATAATTTAAATGACAAATAATTTTCCCTTGGACGTCGTTGCATCGTCAAATAAAGCGCCGTTAAAAGCAGAAAACAACACAAGCGCAGGAACGCGCACTAAATCGTAAAACCATGACGTATTCTCCATATTTGACCGAATTCTTTCTCGAAGCTAGACTGTCGATACGTTCGCGGCAGGCTCGGATAAAATACAAACATGTACCGACGCGCAAAAGTAAAATATTCGTGCGCAGGACGATTTTTAATACGGATAACGAAGAAACTACCCGAGTGCCACTAAATACATTCCAATATACGTTTTCGCTTCCGTCGGTCCGGCGGGCGCGCTCCAATACATTGAAGGAGGAATAAAAATGAAAACGCCCGTGGTTGGTTGACCTCTCTCATTAAGCACGTTTCCTTTCAGGTGCAGTCACTCAAAAAAAAAAAAAAGAAGAAAAAGGCGCAACCACAATGCACACATGAGACGTGTGAGTCATTCGTTCACTGTGCGTGGCCGAACAGAAAAGGTCGGTTGCCCAGCAAGAGTACTACGTTTCATCTTAGGTCCAGACCACGGTGGAAGAAATACATTTAGGTGATGACTCTGGCCGCTCTTCCCGCGGGGAGCGAGCGACCAGATCGTGCTCGGAGCTAGCCTCGAACCAGGAGTAGTTAGTTCCGCGCCGCCGCGGCGGGCGCTGCGGTATGGGGTCCCTCCTCGGTGACTACAATGTCGGCGGCGTAGCGTGCCGACACCGTAGTCGCGGAATAAAACAATCACACAGAGCCTACGCTTTTTTTTGTTCGTGATTATTTTTCCACGGTGGTAATAGCAAACACACATAGACAAACGAGCGCCGTGACGGTGCGATTTGGGAGCTGCTTGAATGGCTTCATCGGATTGTAGTGACGGCTGGACGAGGATTAACTGCATGAAAACGAAAGAAGAAAAGTGTATTATTTCAGTGAGGCATTATTCCGCGATAGATAGAGAGATAGATAGATAGAAACTTTATTAAAAAAAATGATGGTGGGGATGACTCAGCCGCCTCAGTCCAGGCAGCCGCTGAGGGCCCTGTTGATGTGGGCCGCCAGTTCCCGTTGTTGTTCGATGCTGACCGCAAGAGCCAGCCACTCCCGGGTGTGTGTGGATGTGCCGGGTTATGGGGGCAGTCCCACAGTAAGTGGTCCTGTTCGGAAGGGGTGAGACAGCGGGAACAAACAGGGAGAGGGTCACCTAAGGAGCGGCGAAATAGGTGGAGTCGAGCGGGTGTGTGAAGTGTGTATGTTTGTGCCTGACGAATGAGTGTTTGCTCACGACGAGTGAGCTGGGTGTGGGGCGGAGGAAAGGTACAACGAGAGGCGAGAAGGTCGGCTAGGGTGGGGAGGGGAGGAGGAGGAACAGGGGCTTTGTCACAAGCGTCAGCAGGGGCCCGGAGGAGCGTTTCGCGGGCAAGCTGATGAGCGCGTTCATTCCCGGCAACGCCAGCGTGACCAGGTATCCAGTGGATGTGAAAAGGTCCTCTAACATTGTTGAGGAGAGGAAGTGCAGAAGGGAATGCGACGCCCTGAGCGAGGTGGGAGCAGGCCGACTTTGAGTCCGTGTAGATGTGGGTGGTACGGCCAGGGGAAGAGTTGTTGGCAGCAGCCAGTGCAATGGCGAGAAGTTCTGCTTCGACCGTGGAAGCGCAGCGCTGCGTTCTCTAGTGGGCAGTGCCGCGTGAAGTGATGCACGCGAATGCAGCAAAAGGGTGTCTTTTAAGGCTGCATCGGTGAATACGTGATGAGATTCGGGATCTCGGGAGATTTTCCTCGTGTAGTATGCCGCACGGAGAAGACGGCGAGTGGGATTTCGATCCCTGTCCATGTGGCGGGGAATCGGGGCCACGGTAATATGTTGGAGAATCGTGTTGTCTAGGGGAGTGGGTTGAGGTCCGGTTGGAAGGGGTATATAGCCGAGTTCGTGCAGGATGAGGCGACCTGTTGGAGTTAGCGAGAGTCGTTGACGCTGATGTATGCGATGAATGTCAATAATGTCGGAGACCGTAGGTAGTACGCCCAGTTGAACCAGTCGAGCGGTGCTAGTGGTTAGGGGGAGCCCGAGGGCGATCTTAGTCGCCTTATGGATAAGAGCGTCGAGCTTACGTTCTGAAGTACGTGTGAGGGATACGTAGAAAGCTTGATACTGAATGCGAGAAATTATGAGGGCATCGCTAAGTCTAAGGAGGTCTTGTTCTTTGAGACCCCTGGTGCGTGTTGCAACACGGCGCATCATGTTGAGGATAGGTGCAGCCTAGCGTAAAATGTTCTGCAAGGCAGTAGTGCCTCCCCCATCGGATTGTATATGAAGGCCCAAGACTTTGAGGGACTTTTGTGGGCGAATGATGTGGGTGTCATGCTGGAGGGTCACTTGAGGAGGGTGCCAAAGGCGAGAGTGGATTAGGAGCAGGGAAGTTTTCTCGACCGAGCAAGCGAGACCTATAGTGCGGGCTGCGTGATGAACAGCTTCGAGGGCGGCCTGAAGAGAATCCTGGATGTGACCAGGACTGCCTCGATTGATCCAGATAGTGACGTCGTCAGCGTATAGAGAGTACCGAATATCAGGTTGGGGTTGGAGGGTACGGTGGATACAGCGCATAGCGAGATTGAATAATGTTGGAGACAGGACCGCTCCCTGAGGGATGCCTCTCTTTGGGTGAGGGACCGCGTCGAGCTTGTGTTCGCCGATTTGAATTGAGAGCGTAGGCGATCGAAGAAAGTCCCGGACATAATTATACACATGCGAACCACAATGTGTGTCGGCGAATTCTGAGAGCATAGCGTCATGGTCCACGTAGTCGAAAGCCTTCGTGAGGTCTATAGCGAGGATGGCTCTTAGCTGGGCTGTGCTAGGTGACTGCAAGATTTCTTCGTGGATGCGTAGCAGTGTATCTTGGGTGGAAAGATGTGAGCGATAGCCAATCATACAATGAGGAAATGCTTGGGTATCTTCAAGATTCTGTTGGAGGCAATGGAGGGCCATGCGCTCCATAACTTTGCCTACGTGGGAGGTGAGCGTGATGGGCCGAATACTCAGGAGTTCCACCGGCTTACCAGGCTTTGGAATGAAGATCATGTGGCCCTTTTTCCACAGATCACAGAGCGGCAGTTTGCCTGTCCACACAAGGTTGATGGAATGCAAGAGATGATCTTGATCAGCCTCTGAAAGATTGCGGAGAAGGGCGGTGGTGACCAAGTCGGGCCCCGTATCTTTGGAGCCTATACACTGACGGAGCGCTGCGCGTAGCTCTGCGTAGGTAAATTCTTCATCGAGCCCAGTATGAGGAGAGCCTTCATAGTTAGGATACTGTGGTTGGCAAGCAGGAGCGACATAAAGGTCCTTTAAGGCAGCCAGAAGTGTATCCGGATCCGTGTGCTGGTTAGTTGAGGCGGTTTATCTTGTGTGCGGTCATGGTCTTGGTAGAGTCCGGATTTATGAGGGCTTTCAGAATGCGCCATGTCTTGGCAGTGTTCACGGTGTTCTGAAGTTCGTCGCAAGAGGCATTCCAATGTCCGCTGCTGAGCTGATCCAAGTATTGCTGGATGTGCTCATTTAGGCGATCGATGCGGGCACGGAGCTTGCGGTTCGTTTTGCAGCGCTTCCACCGCTTCAGAAGAGAAGCACGTGCTTCCCAACTGTGCGCGAGGTGGGTGTCAATGGGAGGGTTAATTTCATTGGTGGCAAGGATCTTGGTGCGTCGATCAAGCATGTGTGTAAGTTGCTGTGTCCAGGTAGGTATATCTGTGAAAGGGGGGTCGCTGTGGTCCTGCCGATAGTTATGCCAATCGATTATGCGGATGGGTTTCCATCTGATGCGTTTCGGAGTTTCAGATACCGTAAGGTGGAGGATGGCGTGGTCACTGCCCATATACTCTTGCGTATGTTCCCACTGTAGATGAAGAGATGGTGTCGGAAAGGTGAGATCTGGGTTGATATTGCGCTCTACAGAGTTACCCATTCGGGTATGTTCATGTATGTCGTTGTGCAGTGTGTAGCCGGCTTCTTGTAGTGCACAGTGCACCCTACGGCCTTTCTTGTCTACACGAGTCTAGCCCCAGGCGGGATGTGGGGCATTAAAGTCACCTGCTAGAATATGGTGAAAGCGGCGTTTAGCCCGGCAGGGATGTAAAAGCTCGTTAAGTTTCGGGAGGGTATTTAGGGGGAGACTGTAAACATTACTGATGTGCAGAGAGCCGCGCTTAAGGGGAATCGATACAGTGAGACTATTGGCGGTATCGTGTTCGTGAGTAGCCGTGAGGGTTGAGCGAACGAGCGTGGCAAGGCAGGAAGTTTGTTGAAACGTGACATAGCTAGAGAGAGTAGGATTTAGTCCTGTGTCTTGAAGGAGAATGATGTCAGTAG